TTTTTTTTTCTTCTTGATTGTTTGTGCTTGCAGATTTGCAGCAAGAGTACTTTTCTGTACGGGATGTAAATTGCAAAGTTTTTTCTGAATAATATTATTGAGATTTATCTAAAAGACACTGGGCTAAATTTATAGAAGGATATTGGTGAAACTAGAAAAAGAAAAGAAATGAATAGAAAATATAGCAGAAGATGTGAATTCTAGGGAGAGAAATAAAAAAGGGTGGAGAAGTAAAGTCTAGTGAGGGATAGAATGGGGGATTCGAAAATGGAGGGCCTGCCGGCGCCAGTCACACGGAGGGACCCATATGAGGTACTGTCTGTGTCTAGGGATTCTTCTGATCAGGAAATCAAGACTGCCTACAGAAAGCTTGCTCTCAAGTATGTTTCAAATTGGTTATTTTAGTTACTGCATTACATTAATTATTTAGTATTCGATGTTTATTCAGTGTGTGTGGATAGAAATTCTGTGTTACATGTGGTTGAAAGTTGGTATATATGGACTTTTTTTTTTCTTCCTTTTATATCCAAGTTATGCTGTTTGTATTTTGTGTTTGTGGTGCATTGATGCAAAATCGGACTATTTGGATTTAGATGGAAACTTAAATTTCTTTTTGTTGAATCATCTAAAAGTGCTGCAGTTATTGGTAATTGATTATTTTTTACACAACACACTTCCAAAGTTATTCCTTGTTTTTTTGGGTGCTTTTTGTTGAGTGGGAGGACTCAGGTTAAGATCAATATTCATGGAATCCAGTTACTCATGTGAAGGGGTGTTCAAAATTGCAGAGTACTCGTAAGAACAAATATAAACAGGAGCAATTTGGAAATTTGAAAAAAAAAAATTCGGGTAATCAAATATTATTTAATGGAAAAACATTGTTGAAGGGCTATGAACTGACAGAAAAAGCCTGGAGTCACTTGTGCAAAGTGGAAATTGAAGCAGATCAGGTGAATGGATACTTAAATAGAGTGTGATTCCTAAAATGGGGTTCATTTAGTTTAAATAGATTAACCAAATAATTAAAATTAGCTCAAAATGAAGTTTTCTCTTTGCTGGAGAAGTACTAAATCATATCAAAATGTATGGAAGTGTTAGTATATATGTTCCTTTATGGATTTAATTGTTCAAAAAATGATTTGCAGGGAAAATAGATATTTTTTACTTTATACTGATTTTTTAATAGAATGGTTTTTTTTGGCTTTAGGCTATTTGCCCCTCTTTTTAACATAGCTATCTGAAGTTTCAATTAGAAGATGCTTTGTTAGGGGCTCCGTCTAAACCTGTGAATGAGAGGTAGTTATCTGTAAGCAATAACGGATATATGGATTCTCAAGTCTACGAGGAATTCTGAACCATACAGTAGTTTTGTTATTAATTGGTATGTTGTTGATCACATTGTTATGTAGAAACATCCACAGTAATTACTCTTGGAAATTTTATTCATTAATGGGGTGTTTGGTATTGATTTTTCACCCCAAAAAATTAATTTTTTAACTGTTATTTCACTATTAAAACCGTCATTTTGGACCTTTCTCTCACAGGTAGGACCCAATTTTCTTTTTAACAGTCAAAAAATCAATTCCCAAAATCACTATCAAACAAGCTCTAAGTTTGTACCTGAGAAAATTTTTAGTTTCTAATTAGTCTCTGATAATAGTTCGATTGGCGGCAAAATTAATTTGATACTGATTAAATGAATTTCTTTTAATAATAATTATTATTATTATTATTATTATTATTATTTTTATTATTATTTTTATTATTATTATTATTTTTATTATTATTTTTATTATTATTATTATTTTTTTGGGTGGGTGGGTGGTTGGGATTTGACCCTGAAGTTAATTTGTCAACTGAGTTCCAGGATAATAGGAAGTCACGGGTTTGAAGGATGTGGAATGGTTTCTGAAACCTGCCATCAAAGTTATAACAACAATGTTGAAGTGCTGGCATCTATTGTGATCCCTCACCATCTCTGCAGTATAATAAAAATAAAAACAGCAATGGGAAAAAACAAGAATATAGATGAATGTTGTTGAAGGAGATTCCTTGGATGGGTTAAAAATTATTAATCCAAATGGCTGACAGGTACCATCCAGACAAGAATGCCAGCAACCCTGAGGCTTCAGAGCTTTTCAAGGAGGTTGCATATTCATATAGCATTTTATCCAATCCAGAGAAAAGGAGGCAATATGATAATGCAGGATTTGCGGTACTTTGTCTTTTCAATTACTACACATTCTATTATTAAGATCTTTCCTGCACCCACTTTCGGGGGGTTGGGGGGGGGGTTTCAAATTTCCTTTTACTGATAATATGTTAAATACGATGATTGGGTATAAAGGATTTTGTTTTACTGCAGGATATCTTGTTTGGTGATGTGAGACTTATTCCGTTAGGCCTCATTCATCATCCAAGAATCATTTGAAATTCTGAGTGTTACATGTAGGTATCTTAAACTGAATGTAAATACTTAGTTAATTTGATAGGACGACTGATGGATTTTGGGGACCTTAGGAAGTTGTGCTGGACAAATCATATGAGCAACCCCCAGGTTGTGGCTTTGAAAATAACAGTAGCCTTTGTATGTAAACAATGCTAAAAATTTTGATATATGCTCAGGCTGTCCTCTGCAACACACTTAATTACCTGATTATTCAATGCAAAGTCTTTTGACTTACTACTCTACGGTGTTAAGTCACTCAACGATAGAGATAGAGCATGTTTGGTGGGCATAGAAAAAGGAATAAGCTCCTTAATAAGTCAAGTTTGTAAGTCCATTTATGTTTGTATAACATATGCTTATAAGTAGATTAAGTTATTATGTTTGGGGATATATTTAATTTAAGCCAAATCTATATGATGAATTTCCGAAATGCCCTTTATGTTATCTAATGATTTCTTAATACAAAAGTGATGGGCAAAATTGTAATTTTTGGAAAAGGGAAAGAGCAAAATAGTGTTTTAGTTGGTCAATCTTAAAAATAAACCAAACAAGTTTGGCTTCAGGTGCTTAATTTTTGGGCCTAAATTGGCTACAAGATAAGGCATCTTATTTTCAAGATATGCATGTTTGTGTGGGATTGGTGCTTATATGCTCGTTTGACCAGCTTACGAGCCTACCCAAACATGCTCTAGTCAACCATTGTGCTAAGGCACTTGGAAATATAATTGACTATGCTGTAGCATGTGATGTAGTTATTCAAAAAATTAAGATTTGCTTTATCCAGCATCTAATGGGAGCTACAAGCAGATAGTACCATCTTTCGGGAGTATCAATATTGTGACATGAATTGTAAATGCATGGATGTGATGTACCAAAAATTCCTCAATTCCTAACGGAATAGGTAACAAAGCCACTTTACCACCCACGGATACTTGGAAATAAATAGTTGTTAGGTTACATTCAGACAATTTCACTTTTCGTAGTCTGGTAACATTCTATGTTTTATCAGGGGTTGAAGCATAAATAGGAGGGTTTTTATTTACAAAGTCGATTGAGTATAATTCATATCAATATTGAATTCCTCTCCTAAATTCTATCTCCTCTCTTTCCTCTCCCTTCTTTTCTCTTCTTTCTCATCTTCTTTATGTACTGCAGTTCTATATACTATCACGGAGCTTCTTGACTTTGACATGCTTTCTCATTATAATTATTCCAATTTCCATGGTTGCCCTTAAAAAAATTTCTACAACAAATACATAGATGACATGAATTACTAAAAACTTATATCAACTACGGTGTGGCAATCGATGGTTAAACTTCTTAACTATGTGCCCAAAAATTTATTGCAAACTGTGCAACATATCCTGCTACATCAGTTGGTAAAAGGTTTTTAAGCGAATCCTTTCGTACTTGTTTTGTCACTGTTTCAAATATTTTGTTTTCTCTTGTCTAATTTCTGTAAGGTATATCCTAAATGGTTTGATATTTGTCATTCAAAACAATAAGGCCCTTGATGTTGAAGCAATGG